GGCGTTTGCCTATATTTCCTTTAATAAATTTGACTTGACTTGACTTGTCCAAATAATTCACCCCATCCTGAGTGTACAAACTGGGTGCATACCGTCGTCATTGGTTTGTGAGCCACCCGGATTTGGGGCTTCCTTAGGTGTTTGTCACGATGTTAGCAGTTTGCAGATACTTTAACTTTACCCTGCGTCTGATGATGAGCTGGGGCCCCAGTCCAGAAAATTAATACAATCAATTCTACTTCCGAAAGAACGCCTTCGACTTCAAAGCTTATAAGTCCGAACAGACACCCGATATGCCTGACAAACGACGGATAAACTACCCCCCACATAGTCCACAGAAGGAGAAATGCAAACTCCTTCTTTGTCAACAACAGATTCCCCAGCTCGTCTTCAGACTAGAGAGAATGTGCAATGAACAATGAAAATTTCGAACAGGCAGAAAAAATCAATAGTCATCTGGGCTGGGCGCTGATTGGCAGCTTGTACACCCCTAATGATAGGATTGGAAGGAAGGTCCGTCTCCACACGCATTCATGGGCACCAACTGGCAGTGAAGAGACGTGACCGTTTATCCGAAGTGGCTATGCATAGCCTTGATACAGGACACAGATTCGCATGGGACAAAACCCGAATCGTCGGAGTTTGCCCCTCAAAAAAGGCCGACAATTTATTGAGGCCGTGCACTCCGATGATGCATGCATCAACCGATACATCGAGTTGGATGGAATGTACAAACATTTCAAAGAAAAATGGAAGAGAGGAGAGCCTAGCAATACGAACTGACGTAAATGGCAGCCACCAATTAGCACTTACTCCAGATGACTACTGATTTTTTTCTGCGCGTTTGGCATTTTTATTGTTTGTGGTACATGCTTTCTAGTCTGAGGACGAGCTGGGGAACCAGTCTCAAACATTTACTGAATAAATTTACCTTGTTGTCCCAAAGAACGTCTTTTCTTCAAATTACACTTCCTAGGATGCCTGATTTCCAATTTAGGCGTCTCAGAAGCGACTGAGAGCATCGCTGCGGGACTAGGTGTTGGAATTGAACACATACTAAAATCTACAATGCGCAGCAAGTTGATGAAAATAAAACAACGACTTACGCCAGAGTAGAGTATCGCATCTCATGCCTAAACTGTGCTTGTAATTACACAGGCCAAACTGAACGCATGCTCGGATCGCGCATACATGAACACAAATTGGCCGTGCGACGAGACGACGAATTACCACAAGGTGCAGCTCACATCTATGAAACGAGCCATGAGTTCAACTTCACGGCCGTCAAGGTACTCGCCCACACCGGAAACAAGACGAGCAGGGAATTGATTGAAGCCTGGTCCACGGACGGGAATTCAGTGGAATTGACGCCGGCGTACAGAGCATTGC